CGGCTCCGTCGCTGGCGGCTCCGTCGCTGGCGGCTCCGTCGCTGGCGGCTCCGTCGCTGGCGGCTCCGTCGCTGGCGGCTCCGTCGCTGGCGGCTCCGTCGCTGGCGGCTCCGTCGCTGGCGGCTCCGTCGCTGGCGGCTCCGTCGCTGGCGGCTCCGTCGCTGGCGGCTCCGTCGCTGGCGGCTCCGTCGCTGGCGGCTCCGTCGCTGGCGGCTCCGTCGCTGGCGGCTCCGTCGCTGGCGGCTCCGTCGCTGGCGGCTCCGTCGCTGGCGGCTCCGTCGCTGGCGGCTCCGTCGCTGGCGGCTCCGTCGCTGGCGGCTCCGTCGCTGGCGGCTCCGTCGCTGGCGGCTCCGTCGCTGGCGGCTCCGTCGCTGGCGGCTCCGTCGCTGGCGGCTCCGTCGCTGGTGTCCAGCGACGCAATCGCCGAGTCTGACCGAGGTCTTATTGTATCAACCTCCCTCCTCTTCTCTTTTCACCTCCTGATGCTCCAAACTTTTTCCTACAATAAATGTAGTAGAATTTGGGCTCAAAGGAATACTGGACGCTAGTTCAACATTGCACTGAACGGAGTAAGCCTCCAGTGGCGCGCGAAAGACCCGTCGAAAAACTCGTCCAGCTTTACCCGTGTAGGTTTAGCGGCGAGTCCTATTTATCGCGCAGTAAACCATGCAAGATATTAGAGTTGGCAATTTTCTGGTTTCCAGCACATCCTGATTTATCAAAAGGAACTAGGTACCTTTGGACAAATTTTTCCAAGCACGCTTCGCAGTGTTTTTGTAGATATCGTTGTGGTGTTTGTAGAACTTCTTTGCTGGATGTATCCTGTATCGAAGCAGTCGCTCTTAATATCAAACTCATACATATGAATTCGTAGGGTGCATTTCCTTCATTGAGGCTATTCACCATAATGAGAGCTAGGGACCATACATCTTTAAACTACACACCATTCTTATCGGTATTACCTCTCAAGCCATGCTGATGTTCATTTTTTTGCGTTTCTGTAGTTCTAGCATCACCTACCAGTTTCCTGCACGCGGCTATCTTCGGGTCTTCCACCCGTCTACCGCTTCCATAAACTCGAGCTCGTTGTGACACTATGGGAACTGCGTCTAAAAAACCTATGCTGCAGAGATCCAGCTTATTCGAGCGTTCTCTATATTTTTTTGGTTTCCTTTCGTGGAGCTCTTCTTCATCATCCTGGTGTTCTCTTACTTCTATTCGTAGAAATTTTGGGATACCTAACTATGGTTTTCCTTGAACTCCTAACATAGCTACGACTACTGTAATAGGGCCACCACTGCGTTATTACAACCCCAATAGGGACAACCCTTTATCTTCTTCTTCTTCTCCCTAGCGTTAGTCCCGCGCAGTCGCAGGGTCCGCTGTCTTTGTCAGTCGTCGCCACTTTAGTCTGTCCAGGGCGTCCTCTGCTGTGGCCATGACTTCACTTAGATCCTTCTTGATCACGTCTCTCCACCTCTTCTTTGGGGCTCCTCGCGGTCGCTTGCCTTGCACTTCGAAGTCCATCGCTGTTCTTATCGGATGATCCTGTGGCCTCCTTAGCACATGCCCATACCATCGCAGACGCTGTTCCCGTACCTTCAGCTGGACAGGGGCAGTCTGCATGACCGCTCTGACATCCTCGTTTCTAACCCTGTCCAGCCGCGTCCAGCCGCAGGCCCACCTCAGCATCCTCATCTCAGCGGAGTGAAGCTGCCTTTCGTGGTTCTTGTTCAGGGGCCAGCACTCGCTGCCGTATAGCATCGCAGGCCTGACTACTGTTCGGTACACCTTCCCTTTGAGCGTTCTGGAGCATCTTCGATCGCAGAGGATTCCAGTGGACTCCCTCCATTTCATCCATGCAGCGTTGACTCGAGCCTTCACTGCCTGATCCACGCCACCGTCGGCTGCCTGATCGCTCCCAAGATAGCAGAAGTTCTCACTCTTTTGATGCTGAAGCAGCAGAGGCTGGGAGGAGCATCCGCAATGCCGCCGAAGCTTTGCCAGCTACAAGACCAAGATGACCTGCCTCCGACGTCCGGATGGAACAGTTACTGCATCCCGAAGGGCAATGGAGAAAGTCATCCACGACTTCTACTCGGATCTCTTCGATAGCCATGTCCATCTGCCTACTTATCAACCGCAAGAGGATGGATACGTCGTCCCCTCAGTTCTCTCTTCCGAAGTCCGACACGCCATCAAGTCGGTGAAGAATCGTACAGCACCCGGTCTCGACAGGGTCAAACCGGAACATCTGAAGAATGCACCGCCAGTTATCATCAAAACTCTGGCTCGACTCTTCACGCGCTACCTGTCGGAATGCAAGGTACCCACTCCGTGGAAAAACCAGCAGGATTATGTTTTGTACTGTATGCCGAACGAGGTTTTTAAGATGGAATCTTTATTGACTGGCCTGACGTTTCGACAGCTTCGTCTTCTTCAGAGGCCTGGAGATAGTCTGAAGCTTTTGATTCGTTAGCTACTCGATCCACCGCGCACAGTATTCTTCGACGTCAGAGAACGTCGAGAATACTACGTTCTCTGACGTCAAGAATAAGAAGAATGAAATAAGAAGAAGGAAAAAAAGACGAAAAGAATAAGCCATGGTCAAGGAATTCCTCGACCGTTATTCACCCTGCCGTAGTATTCTCGACGTTCTCTGACGTCAAGAATACTGTGCGCGGTGGATCGAGTAGCTAACGAATCAAAAGCTTCAGACTATCTCCAGGCCTCTGAAGAAGACGAAGCTGTCGAAACGTCAGGCAGTCAATAAAGATTCCATCTTAAAAACCTCGTTCGGCATACAGTACAAAACATAATTGCAGCAAATTTAATACATCAATATGCCGAGGTTCCAAGAAAGGACGACATGGAGACCAGCAGGACCGTGTTGCTGTACAAGAAGGGAGACCTGGACGACATTGGCAACTATCGCCCAATCTGCCTGCTGTCTGTAATCTACAAGCTATTCACTCGAGTCATCCTTAACAGGATCGGCAGAATACTAGATGAAGGACAGCCATGCGAGCAAGCAGGGTTCCGAAGAGGGTTCAGCACGATCGACCATATCCACACGGTTACAAGACTCATTGAAGTTTCACGAGAGTACAGGAGAGGAGGGTTCGACAGGGCGACACCATCTCGCCCAAACTCTTCAGCGCCGCTCTCGAGAACGTCATGCGTCAACTGGAATGGGAAGACATGGGAGTGAAGGTCGACGGCCGGCAACTACACCACCTTCGTTTTGCTGACGACATCGTTCTTATAACGCCGAACATCGAGCAAGCGGAGCGAATGCTGGCTGATTTCGACTGCGCCTGTGGTAAGGTTGGTCTACAGCTGAACCTAACGAAGACGATGTTTATGAGAAACGGATTGGTTCCTGATGCCCCATTCACGCTCAACGGAACGAACATCACCGAATGCTCCAGCTACGTGTACCTAGGTCGGGAAATCAATATGATGAACGATCTAGCTCCAGAGCTGAGCAGGAGGAAACGAGCGGCTTGGGGAGCGTTCAAGAACATCGAGGGAGTAGTGAAGAAGACGAAGAACATCCGGCTCCGTGCCCACCTCTTCGATTCCGCTGTCCTTCCTGCCCTAACCTACGCCTCAGAGACTTGGACTCTGCGCAGGCAGGACGAGCATGCGGTCAGCGTTATCCAACGCGCTGTCGAGAGGACGATGCTAGGAGTAACCCTATACACGCAAGTGCAGAGGGGAATCCGGAGTCGGAACTACGCCAACGATCGAAGATCAGGGACGCTGCCGTTTTCGCCAAGGAATCGAAGATAAGGTGGGCCGGACACGTCATGCGATTTTGCGATGACCGTTGGACCAGAGCGGTTACCGACTGGATCCCTCGGGACGTCAAACGAACACCTGGACGACCGCCGGCCCGATGGTCAGACTTCTTCACGAAAGCTCTGAACGAAAGGAATGAAGGGCTTCGTGTCCCTCGAGCGAGGAGGATCCACTGGACCACTCTAGCACGCGACAGGGACGAATGGAGACGTTGCTGGCGCCCGCTCGAGCAAATCGACGATCAACGGGACGACAGGTGATACAGGTGATTTATTGCCCGTCTACGTCCTCTCATTAAATGGCAATTAGGACTAATCCATTGAAGAGTTGGGCTTTGAAAAGAAGTGAGCCACGCCCCCTGTGATCTCACACTCTTCAACTTTGCCTTACGGTGCGTAGTTCACCCGCTCCAGAGAATCTCACACACTGACCCTTAATCTTGGGAGGCGCTATAAGTGAGAGTGCTCAGAAGAGCCGAAAATAATCGTTTAACAGCGCGACAGCCAAAGACGAAGGTCATATTTGTAATGAATCAGCTCTATTCAGAAGTTTACTTATATTCGTGATCCGGACCACCGCTAAGCCTCATAAAAATTAAGGGAATCCCCCCCCCCCCCAATGGGTTATGATAGTGCAATAGTGCCGAGCCCATCAAGCGTGTATAGAACGTTTTAGCATCCAGTGGCGGAAAGGAGGAAAACAACTCTAACCACAATTCGAGTCGAGTTCATTCACCGAATAAGTGTTGGTGTCGTCGCAATAGGACCGGAGATTCACATTGAAGAGGATTCGTAGGGTTAGTAAGAGTGAAGCTTCGGCTGTAACTTCAAAATGGCGGAAAAGGACGCGTTACACATCACCAACAGTTAAGGCAACTAAGTCTCACATTTGGACGAGCTGATATAAATGTAATTTCATTTGAACAATTCAATGCAGCGATGCTTCAAAGTAATGCATTTTCCGCAGTCGCATTTATTGTGGCACACATGCACATTGTTTTTGTGGTGTGCTTCGCTAGGACAGAAAGCGGTTTTTTCACGTTTCGCAGCGCGAAACATTTTCGCTGCGGGAATCTCAGGTCCACCGCTGATCATGAGTGGACCTGGAGTTCCCACAGCGAAAAATGTTTCGCGCTGCGAAACGCGAAAGTTCGCTTTCTGTCCTAGCGAACCATTGTTTTTGTTGAAAGTTTAGGCATGATAACGAAGACTCTCAGAATCCTCCGGCAATACATACGGATGGAAATTCCTCTGTTTCTTTATATGCTGACCAGCTTTCTGAAATATCCAGTGTTCCAGAACCTGATTTATGAGAAGGCGTGCCTTGCACGATATGCTCAGGTTTGTTCTTTCAGGTGTTGCTAGATGCTGTGCTGGTGTTTCGTTGATGTTTTCGTGAATCCTTCGGTTTTTTCTTGTTTACCCTGTTTGTAAGATTTACTTTCGTTTGGCGGCTGATATTACCTAAACGCATGGGTTCGGAATGGTGTGTCGTTTTGTTCGAAAACTGGACAGGAAGTGCGATAAGGGGCGTGATTTGCAGTAAAAGTGGACAGCTTCATACGAAACATTGAAATTTCCCTTGTAAGGTTGGCCGTGGTTGATGGAGAGAACAGCGCTACGAGGAGAGGGAAAACGCTAGAGAGCACGTTGTACCGAGAGCGCGAGCGAGGCGCAGACGCCACGTATGCCATGATTGATAAGGATGGCGACTGCAGCACACAATGCAAAGCTTTAGCGCATTTGCCGCACACTTTTGAGTTGCAGCTCCTAAGCTTGGAAACCTCCCTTTCCCACTCTGCGGGGAATCGTGGTGTGGTTCACTAGGACAGAAAGCGACTTTTTCTTTGGTAATTTTAGGAACTACATAGTTTGCTCTCTAGGACTAGGTTTTTCCATACGTACGACATAGGTGTGTTACATAGATATGTAATAACATTGTCAGGCGACCACAGGGAGCAAATTGGGCCTGACACCCTATGGGTGTCAGGCAGTCCGGAAAGGGTCAAAGCATTGACTCCGGATGGGTCCATACAATAGCAAATGCATTCCATAATCATAAGGTCACCCGAAATTGCCACTTTTACAACAAGCAGACTGCTTGGAAGATTTTTTTAGCGCCACTACTAGATCCCTCCAAGAGTGACCTTTGTATCCTAAATTTTGCAGGAGTACCTTTTCGTCTAGCGATCTTATAATTATTAGGTTGTCGACTTTTTTCAAACTCACTTCTCTTCTTCAGCACAAAATCAAAGAAATGCAAAAATTAGGCCCCAGTCGGGATCGAGCCGCAAGCGGTGGTTTTCACTTGTTTTTGGCGTTCCGAGAGTGGCCCAAAAGGATTATCCTCAGATTTACGCTCCACGCTGCACCGCTATAACATGCAAAAAACCGTTTCAAAAAAGCGTTCCACATACTTGAAGACCATGGTCAAAATCGTACTTTTATTTGATCTATCAACCGGTTGGCGCTGCAGCGGTGCGCACAAAACAGTCTGCAGCGATTTTGAATGGTGTGGCGTAAATTCTCAATTGGCCCTATACACTACGGATATCTGACTTCTGAGCTACATTCTCTCCGCTTCTTTTCCTCGATCTCCAGACCGCCTCTAGACCGACTCGTGATAAATCTCGTGGTAACTGCCTATTTCGGTGCATGTCCCATCCTTTCTTCATCGCCATCCTACAGACTTTTCTCCTCTCTGAACCGTCTCTGGGTCGATTTATATTGACACAAACTCTGTTCCTTCGGTGCACGCCGTTCACACCAAGGGCAGGCGACCTCCTTCCTTCGCCAACCTCTAGCCACTTTTCTGGTCTCCGGGTTTTCTTAGGACCGAGTTATAGCTTGGTAGCAGGCCTCGCCTTTTGTAACCTTTGCTTACTATAAACAGCCTCCCCTACTCTGATCTCTAGCTATCTTTCTTCCGCTTCATAATACTTCTCTAACCGAATTTGAGGACTTCTAGGGACGCTCCGTCCACTGAATGTGGGCCTTCGCCCACGTATGTGTGTTGGGAACACTTTAGACATTGCTTCCCTACACCGACTTTTTTCTGTCTGCAGCCTTTCTCTCAACCGAGTTATGAAATTTTTCATAAGAGCATCGCTTTTAAGAGAACGTTCCCGCCACCGCGGGCGGCTTTTTCTAGTCCCAATTAGCAACTCAACACACCTTTACACACCTTCCCGGTTTCTAGGCTGTTTTGGAATGGAATTTGAAATTTTCGTTGTCAGAACGGCCACACCACGCCCACTGTAGGCGGGGACCGACTCAGTTGATGTGTGTTTTGTATTTATCGAGACATGAACCCCATGCCACACTTGACCCGGTCTCTCCATGCGGATCCGCAGGAAGTAGGGAATTTCGTAACAGACACCGTACAGACGACAGACGAAGCGCTTTATAGTAAGTAGGATAATGAACTGCGGAGTCAAACTATGTAATAAGTCAGTGTTCTTATCCTCCCAGACACGTCTGGTATCAATTCACCGCAGGCGGAGGGATGGAAGGCTTGGTCGGCAATGATCTAGGTTGAACTCCCGAACCATTTGTCTGGTAGGTGACGCCACTTGCCACTACACTACTGCCGCTACCCCAGCCCACTAGAATCTTATTCGGAGTATATATTTGGCGGTGTCTTTGCTTTTCCTTCACTTTCATTCCATTCGCACATTTAGCGTCATTGACGAGCACACCAGCTTGATCGTGGAGGGTGTGTTAGGTCATTTTAGGGCGCTCCTTACCTCGAAAAAACCTCACCATCGTCTGCTCAGGCCCATAGCTTTCCTCTGCAATAGGCATGTTTATTCTGTACACCTGCCCGAAGCCAGCGCCTAGCCTCCTGATTTTTAGGATCAAGGTTTATGCTCAAACGTGACGGCTTACTACAACGATAAAGCTGTACAAGCCGATGCGAACTACTTTTACTTTCTGTCGTCGTTAGTGCTCACTATACCTTCACTTTTCTCAACACTGGTGTTGGGAGCAGGTAAGAGTGGGGAAAGATCAAAATTTATGTCACTTTCACTTCAGTTCACTTTCAACGGTTTCACTCCAATTCCCAGTTGCTCGTCAGGTCACTTATCTTTTATTTCAGCGTCAGACTCATGGAGCATCAAAGTGCCGCTGTTGATTCCCTTTTTTGGTCTGATATTTTGCACGACAAACTACATCATACAAACAACATACATGAACGAGTCTATTTATCTTTTGCTTATCAGTGACGCTATCTTTGGCGTCTGCGGTGGATATGTCTCCATAATATGTAATTTTCCGATATTTAATGAGGCTGTTGCATCTTTATTCGCTATTCTTCTTAGCATTGCAACACAAGTCCCTACTCTCTTCCCTGTTCAGCTACGTCCCTCAGTTATGGTGTTAAAACAACGAAGACATCTCGCAGAAGTATAAGAATAGCTGGCATTGAAGGCGCGATTGGACTTGGAGGCACCATTGGATATGTGCTTTCAGGAACGATAAGAGAGTAAGAATCCTCACAATTTTCGCATAGGAATGTTAATAATTATTGAACCAGTTGAAGTTGAGAAGTAAATGGCATTGCTGTTGTTGTCATGATGTTAGATCATGTTTCCATGGTGTAGTGATAAGTGGCGCTGCTTACCACGCGCTCGGTCCGGGGACCAATCCTGGGTCGTGAGTCGCCCGGGCCAACCAAGCCTTCCATCCCTCCGGGGTCGGTTAATTGGTACCAGACTTGTCTGGGAGGATAAAAACACTGACTTGTACATCGGCTGGCCCCCGCAAGTCATTGTATAGGCCACATCGCATTCAAACGCCACTACGAATGTACAAATGGAAGTAGAATGCGTGCCGCATCCCAAAAAGGGATTGATCAACGGCAAATGCTTTATCCTTTTTTATAAAAAGAAAGGAAGCGGCGAAATGAATGCAGCTCGCTACTGTTAACCTCGACTCGTGATTATGACGGTGACTGTAACCTTTTGCCTTCAGTTATCAATA